TTCACTGGGAGAAATCCCCACATATGTGGTCACAGAGGTCATCTGTGTCGACTCTTGTTGAATGATAAAGAGTAGAAAAAGCACTTTGGAGAGACAGAGGGGGAGCGAGAGAGCACAAAAACAAACAAACAAAAACAAAACAAAAAAAGAAAAAGCACTTTGAACTTGTGTGTGATTTTTTTTTTCTTTTTTCTACTCTCAATTGGCGTTGTTACCGATCATACGTTCTTGGGCTCTCAATGCAATAGAAATTGGTATGAGGCCAAAAGAGCTTTCATAGAGAAAGCTTCACTGGAGCTTATGCCCAAACATAAGGGAGGCAGCACAAGAGAGAGAATTCTCAGACTCCCTCCTGGAGAGTCTCGTAGGGCTTTCTTACCAGGCAAAGTGCAGGAAGGGTGTGCAGGTTGGGCTGAGGAAAGCAGCTCAGCAGATCTGGTTGCTATGGTTATCTTGAATAATGGGCCACCTGGTGTTCTGGCCTGTGGCAAAAAGGCTGTAAATCAATTGTTCAGCATTCCTTCCTGAGGCAATCTTAGTTTCATAAGGTCAATTCCTGGAATTCCTTAAGAACTATTAGCATTTGAGGTAGTGATGTGGGTTTTGTGATCAGTGGGAGTGCTCTAGTGGAAGTGAGCTGAAGCTAAGCCTGTCTCTACTCTGTCTCAGTGTCAATGAGGTGGGGTTTGCTGGAACAGTCCTGGTTCAGGTTCATGGAAACGTGGTTGGGAAGACAAAGGATGAAAGGATTGGGAGACGAGGAACCTTTAATTCCTGGGTGGTCACCCACAGTTTGAAGCAGGAGCTGTGCTGCAATCAGTTATAAAAGGTGAAGTAACCCAGTGGAATTTAGAGATGGATCCAACTCCTGGGGAGCTGGTTCATTGGATGCATAAGGAAATGCAAACTAATAAGAAAATGCCCTTTGAGTTTGTACATGTATGTTTTCTACTCACAAAGTCCATTTTTGTTTTGTCATTAGACTTTTCTTAAAAGTTAATAACTTTTCTGTGTTATAAATGTACAAACTTTAGACTGTATTTCCTGCTGCTTTTAAAAATAATTCTTGAGAGAAATACTCCCATTGCTTGCTGAGAAACCAGTTCTTCAGAACGAGGAGAGGTTTTTCTTCACACCCTGACTAAGGGTGGGACACCAATGATCACAGCTGCTTGTGGCAGGCAGTGAGGGCCTGAGAACAGTGCAACTGGAAATAAGGCTGTGGCCAGATACCACTTCCTGGAGAGAGCAAGAGGCTCAGTGAGTCTTGAACAAACCATAGCTTTGAGTAACTGCACTGTTCATCACTCCTCCTAAAGATAACCACTGGCTTGGGTGTATGTTGAACTGGACAAGGCTTCCTCACCACTGCCCCTGTTTTAAATAAATAATTATTTTTGAATATCATATTCTAATGTGTACTAAATTAGTCATGTCTTCTCTTTCTGCATACCAGCCTCTCAGTGCCTTGAGCTCCTGATTGGTCAGTGAGAGTACTTAAAAAGGCCAATTGCCCAGTTTAAACACTAGTTTGGATAGACTAATATAATTTCTAGATGAAGCACATGGCTTCAGGTACGACTAAGCTGTCCTGTGTCCTCTGGGTCCTGGCTCTAGGAAAATTGATAAGGGACCTTAATTCTAACTCCAACAATCCATGTGAGTCAGGAAGGCTCTCATGTCCCCCTGCTATGTATGTACAGCCCACCATGGGCTGCCAAAATAAATGTTCATATGCCTGCCCTTTGATCATGGTATCTCCTCTGCCAGGTAAGTATGTGCCTGCCCATTGAAACATGCTCACTGAACCACTCCAAATGAATTTTGGGGCCAGATTATAAAACAGACTGGATATACAAATCCATCTCAAAAGAAGGAAAATTAGCACAAGACAGAACTTCAATTCTAAGAGATAACTCTAATACCTCAAGGAAGAAGATCCTAAGGGTGAGAGCAGAACACTTAGGAGATCAATATTTGGCGATGATTATAGGAAGCAACTAGAACTGTTGGGCTAAGTTGGACAATAGAAGGGGAACTTTGAAGAGATGGATGGGCAAGATGAATGAGAACCAAAGAAAACTACTGGTGATCTGAATGAGAAAAGTTCAAAGGGGCCACTTTTACAGAGTACTTGTAACATACTTTATTATTCTCGAAATTAATGTAGTATTCCCTGACATTTCTTCTTGTTACCAATTGTAACAATATTTCCTAATTTCTTAGAAGAATGAAAATAGGACTGGGTATGGTGGCTCACGCCTGTAATCCAAGCACTTTGGAGGCCACGACAGGCGGATCACCTGAGGTCAGGAGTTCAAGACCAGCCTGACCAACATGGTGAAACCTCGTCTTAAAAAAAAAAAAGGAAGAATGAAAATAAAATTTACCTATATTTCATTTGGGGAACTCAAAATCACTGAATCATAAAGAATTTATACTGACATTGTTGGAATAATAGTTTGCTTAACAAAGTCCGGAGTTTTCAAAGATAGAAAAAAACTTAATTTCTTCCATAGTCAGTTTCTGCTACCTCAAGTCTGGAACAGGATACACAAATATATAAATCAGAACAGGAAACCCTATCTGAACAAAGTTAAAAATACTTAAAACATGACCCTATCATGAGTACCATAAGGTACCCTTATTGACTTGCAAGAACAACAAATAATTTCTTCCTAAGGCAGAGAAGAAGGTTGTTTTAAAGCTAATTTACTAATTGTATCCCTCTAGGCAAGCTATTCAACCTCTTTGAGCCTTAATCTCCTCTAGTGTAAAATGGGACTCCCACCACACATCTCTAGGGTTCTTAGATGTAAAATACTCTGTTCCATACCTGGCACAGAACTGTCACTCAGTAGGTTATGTTCTGCTCTCTTTCCTTCCATTTGCTTTCACAAAGCCTTTCAGAACCACTTGGGTCACTGTTTCTGCCCTTCTCTAATTCACAGAGCATCTGAAATCTGTATCACACATCACATACTAATCTAAATCCTTGGCTTGCTTGTGGAATCTGTTCAATTGCCAAAGACCCTAAATCAGCTTGTGACTAACATCCTACTTCTGTGACCTCCACATGCTGCTGGGAAGATAGTAGAAACTTCAATAAATATTTGTTGAAGGAATATACTGTTTAACAAAAATAGACCTAAAAAACAAAAATAGTTTAAGAACTGGCAAAACTTACACCTATCCAGGCAGGTATGCTTGCCCAATAAAAGACCAGTGGACTGAAAATGGTTTTTAAGCAGTACTTCTGACTCTTCCTTTGGTTCAATGGTTGACTGACATCTGTGGTAGTCAGTTTCCAAGATGGCTCCCAGTGATCATTATATCCTGATACTTACCCCACCCACACTGATCCAGGGCTGTCTCTGTGTGACCAACAGAATACTGCAGAAGCGACAGTGTTGACTTCAGAGGCTAGATCACACAAAGGCATTGAAGCTATGGACTTGTTCTTGAATTACTTGCTATGAGGTGAGCCAATTACCATCCTGTGAGGACAGATGGCTGCATGACCTTGGGCAACTTATGTGGTCTTTCTGAGTTTCAGTTTTCCTCACCTTTAAAAAAAGATATTTATTTCACAAGGTGTTGTGAAAACCAAATAAGACTTGAAATGTAAGGCACATAGCAAGATATCTGGCACATAGTAAGCTCTCATGAAATGTGGCTAATGAATGATGGTATAGTCATAGTAGAAGCTAGAGTACTACCAATTGATTGGATGTAAGATGTGAAAAAAAGAGAAATTAAGGATGATTCCTAAGTTTTTGGCTTGAATAACTGAAGGAGTGATGGTATCATTTACTGAGTTTGGAGACAATGGAGGAAAACAAGAGCGTTCTTTATTCGGACCAAAGATGCTTATGCCTGAACAGATAATATTACAACTATCTTTCAATCACTTAGAAACAGCATTCCATTTCCATTCTCTAAATTACTTAAAACTGGTTTATGTTCTATTTAATTCCTTCCCAAATATGATACATTACTGAAGTAAAAGTGATAGAAATTCTAGAAGCCAAATTACTCTGTAATGAATGGCCCGTAAACCTTGATAAGTCACTGTTCTTAATTAAATGGTGGTAAGGCAAAGATGAACAACAGCAGAACACAATCCGGACACTGTAGGTAGTTCTCACTTTTGTTTTGGAGAGAAATATTACCAAACATCAGAGATAATTTATGAAATAAATATGAAATAAGGTAAGCATTGGGTGTTTATGAGAAACGGTAAAGTACTTCTGTTAATTTTAAGTGAAGATTTACTGATAACTAAAGTGCTCAGGTTTGATGAAATTAGATTTCTGTTCTCTTTTTCGGACTCCCACTGGTTTAGCTACTCAAGAAAGAGAGCGAGTGCTTGATGCAAGTCTGGCTCCCCAGATGTGCACATTTAGCTTTCATTTAGTTAGTAGGTCACAGACTGATTTGACAATCCTGTACAAAAAATTGGTTTCATAATTCTATATATTTTTTTGAGACAGAGTCTCACTCTGTCACCCAGATTTCAGTGGAGTGGCGTGATCTTGGCTCACTGTAACCTCCGCCTCCCAGGTTCAAGCAGTTCTCCTGCCTCAGCCTTCTGAGTAGCTGGGACCACAGGCACATGCCACCACGCCTGGCTAATTTTTGTATTTTTTAGGAGAGGTGGAGTTTCACTATATTGGCCAGGCTGGTCTCAAACTACTGACCTCGTAATCTGCCCATCTCGGCCTCCCAAAGTGCTGGGATTACAGGCATGAGCCACGGCTCTCAGCCTCTATTTTTTAATCTTTAAAATTTTTTATTGTTTTAGACTAGCCATGGTTTCACAATTCTTGATAATATAACTATTCATTTGATCTGAGGCATACTTGGCACTTCCCAGGATTTAGCAAATCCATTATGAAATGCCCAAACAGTGTATTATGTTGACAAATGGAGGTAGTGCAGGGCAAATAGAAACAGAGTGAGTTAACTAATTAGTAACCAAACTGGGACCCAATCCTGGGTGCAGTCTGTGCTTACAGTGAGTTTCTCTGGGCCTCAGCTTCTTCAACTTTAGAACAAAGGGTCTCAATTCACAGATGATCATGAAGTTCTATTTCAGCTCTATTTGATTCTAGTAAGTTATAAGAAAACTTTGAGTTTTGTTTCTATTTTTGATAAGGATGGATTGCAAATAAGCCACCCACAAACAATTTTACACAGAAGTTTGCAACAATATTTTTAGTGGGTTACTGCAGAGTAGTAGTTCCTTCTATCACTTTATCATATAAAACCAGCCATGGGGGCTTAAACCTGTGAACTTAACTTCAGTCAATTGTGTAAACAAACCTTACTGGGGTATAAGTAGTTCATGAAATAACCATAAGGAAGTATAATATGTATATTGTCCACCAACTTCCTCCCACTACAGAAATAGAGAAATGAGGGTTTTTTGAGGAGGCATTTGCCACATGGACTGTAACTATTGACTTTTTTCAATACCCTGTTTAATTTCCCCTTTTTACCCCACAGTAGTTGGTGTCATGCAAGAATCTGTTTACATTGACTAAGGATATTGGAAGAGTGAAGATCAGAGAATTTTAAGCCTGAAATTTGGCATCACTGCCCTTAACAATATAACCTTAGTTGGCGTAAACTACTCCTACAGGTAAGAGTGATTATTTATTCATTTTTAGCTGAAAAATTAATGCTATAAAAATGAACAGGACCTGATGGTTTAAATTTTGAAAGCTGATCATTAAGAAAGGCAGTCAGCATATTAATTACGTAGATAGTTGTTAGTAGCTGTAGTTAAGCGTTGTAGAACTTTTCCGTTTGTCAAATTAGCAGAGATAAAATGTATGCAAGAGTGACTTCAGACAGACATTCTCCTGAGGTTAATATAGACATAGAGATTTTTTCTGGAGACCAGTTATGCATCTGTAACATGTAATTTTTATTTGATTTCTTAACAGTATTTTCAAAATTTTAGAAAATAATTATCTAGTAGTTTTATAGTCAAAGTTTATTTTTGAAGGAGTACTTGTACATAGTAGATACGAGTTTGGGAAGGTAAAGATGGTGACCTAATTGTTGATTACTATACTGAGAGTCCTATAGAGACTCAACTTCTGTCTGGTAAAGCCAGCCTCTGCAGAAGTCTTTTTATCTCCCTTTTGTTTGAAAGCATTTAATATTTATACAGAAGCACCATCACCTTTGCAGTTTTTACTATACTATGCAATATCTACAAAAGGCAGGAGTTAATGCTTTTAACAATATCGTAAAAGGAAGCTCAATTCCTTATGTAAAATCAAAATCTACTGTGAGCAGATAATTTTTTCTTAAATAAACTGGCTCATTTCACTCTCTATCTGACTGATTTTTGAACTGGTAAAGTTATAGATTAGGTTTTATATATTTATGCCACAGTCTACATTAATTGCAACCAGATTACAATTCACCAGGTTGCACTAGATTCAGATACAAACTTAAAATGAAGCATATGGACTGTTTTCTAAATAAAAATAGCAAAGAAAATTATAAAGATACTGGTAGACATTAATTAAGGACCTTGGTATTTGAACCCACAGACACTGCACTGTCCTCAAGTTTTCAAGACTTTGGGTATGGATTGGTTTAAAAAGCTATTACAAAATTATAATATTATATTTGGGATAAAAAACAATTTCTGTAAGCCAAGATGCAGAAAATAAATCAAACTATAATTCTGAAGAGGGGTGGAGAGTAAAATCGCCCTGAGGGACTGGGGGGATATAAGAATTTCCAAAGGCTGCGTCTAGTACAATTTTTATGTTTATCAAAAGAGAACATGATTAAAAAAAGATTGAGAAACCTTGCTCTAGATCATGAAAGAGCGGAGAATGTGGTGCCCAGAGGCTAACTGAAGAACACAGAGAATGTGGCACATTCCGAATAGAGATCATGGTTCTTATTTGACCAGAATCCAGTAACTTTTGTTATTCTCGCCTGAAGGAAGTGAGGAGAAAAATAAGAATAAGAAGCAATTTGTATAAGATTCTTCAGCACTTCATGTGTACCCTTTGAAGCGAGAAAGATTTAAATACAACACAAAAAAGTAAAAATCAGCATGTATGCTGTTTTTAAAACACCATATCCTTTAAAAAAAATCCTCTGAAGAACTCCGATACCAAATTATACATGAGAACACTCTAACCAACAAGCATAGCAGCTACGGTTTTTTTTGTTTTTGAGACAGGGTCTCTTTCTGTTAGGCTGGAGTGTAGTGGAATGATCATAGCTTGCTGCAGCCTTGAACTCCTAGGCTCAATTGATCCTCCTGCCTCAGCCTCCCAAGTAGCTGGGACTTCAGGCACATGACAGGATGCCTGGCTATTTTTTTGTGTTTTTTGTGGAGATGTGGTTTTGCCATGTTGCCCAGGCTGACCTTGGCTTCCCAAAGTGCTGGAATAACAGGCATGAACTACCACACCTGGTCTAGTTTTTGCATTTTTTGTAGAGACAGGGTCCTGCTATGTTGCCCAGGGTGTTCTTAAAATCCTGGTCTCAAGCAACCCTCCCACCTTGACCTCCTAAAGTGCTGAGATTACAGGTGCAGAGCCACATCTGGCTGCAACTACAGTTTTGACATACATGTGTAAAGTAAACTTTTACTGAAGTATGACAGTTTAACATTAAATATTTGAAATGAGATTTTTAAATACTCTTTGGTAATGATCCTGGGATTTTGGAGTCTGTCCTTGGTTGCTATACTTTTCTTCTGTTCAATTCAGGATCTTGCCTGAATTTTTGTTTAAGTGGAATTGAGTTAACTTCTGAAATATGAAAAGAGACTCTTAATACATTACAGAGGAGTGTTTTAATCTAGCCACAAAATGACACCATTTTGAAAACTATATATAAGTGATGCGCTAATTAAAAACCAGTCAACTGTCTATTATTATGGCCACAAAATACTTCTGTAATACTTTGGCCAACATATATTGATTGCATGTGCCTTAAAATATTTTAAATTATATTTCTAAGGAAAATCAGTCATTATTACACTACTTAAATTGTTTTACAATCTAAGAACTATTCATTTCTCTAAGTAAAACCATAAATCCCAGGCATGTAACTATTTACATCAAATTTTTTTTTTTTAGACAAAGGCATTATCCATCACATTAAGTAACTTTTTGTATTTATTTCAAGTGGACAATCGTGATTAGAAAAGGTAAGAAGCCATCTATACTTCCCCATTCCATCTAGTACATTTTTGTTACTATTTTATTTCATTCAATGCTTTAAAAAAACTATTAAGCTTAAATACTGTACCATAAATAATTTTAATATTAAATATCTGCAATTCTGTTCTAGCTCCTGTGTCAAAATTCAAGAAAATCTGACATAAATGAACAACAACACAACATGTATTCAACCATCTATGATCTCTTCCATGGCTTTACCAATCATTTACACCCTCCTTTGTATTGTTGGTCTTTTTGGAAACTCTCTCTCTCAATGGATATTTTTAACAAGAATAGGTAAAAAAACCTCAACACACATCTACCTGGCACACCTTGTAACTGCAAACTTACTTGTGTGCAGTGCCATGCCTTTCATGGGTATCTACTTCCTGAAAGGTTTCCAATGGGAATATCAATCTGCTCAATGCAGAGTGGTCAATTTTCTGGGAACTCTATCAATGCATGTAAGTATGTTTGTCAGTCTCTTAATTTTAAGTTGGATTGCCATAAGCCGCTACGCTACCTTAATGCAAAAGGATTCCTTGCAAGATACTACTTCGTGCTATGAGAAAATATTTTATGGCCATTTACTGAAAAAATTTCGCCAGCCCAACTTTGCTAGAAAACTATGCATTTATATATGGGGAGCTGTACTGGGTATAATTATTCCAGTTACCATATACTACTCAGTCATAGAAGCTACAGAAGGAGAAGAGAGCCTATGCTACAATCGGCAGATGGAACTAGGAGCCATGATCTCTCAGATTGCAGGTCTCATTGGAACCACATTTATTGGACTTTCCTTTTTAGTAGTACTAACATCATACTACTCTTTTGTAAGCCATCTGAGAAAAATAAGGACCTGTACATCCATTATGGAGAAAGATTTGACTTACAGTTCTGTGAAAAGACATCTTTTGGTCATCCAGATTGTACTAATAGTTTGCTTCCTTCCTTATAGTATTTTTAAACCCATTTTTTATATTCTACAGCAAAATGATAACTGTCAGCAACTGAATTATTTAATAGAAACAAAAAACATCCTCACCTGTCTTGCTTCAGCCAGAAGTAGCACAGATCCCATTATATTTCTTTTATTAGATAAAACATTCAAGAAGACACTGTATAATCTCTTTACAAAGTCTAATTCAGCACATATGCAATCATAGGCTTGACTTTTGAATGGAAAACCCACAATATAGAAAAGTATTCCTGTGACTTTATTAGGGATGCTAAACTACATCATTAACATGTCACAACTTAGATGACAATAGTCACCAAGAAAATCTCTTTGGTTTTTAAAAACAAATAAATATATATTCATAAAACTCAAAAAACAGTTCTACTTATACTGAAAGTTGAGATCGCAGAAACTTTCAGAGGCAAAAATTAAGCATATTGAAAGGATCCCACTCATATGAAACTAACAGACTACTGTTTAAACTCAACTGTGAGTGCTTCTGTTCAGAACACGTTATTTCATGACTAGGATAAAGAAGCAAATGGTTTATGACTTGTCTGCTTTCTGGTAGTTAGAATACAAGAGTCAATCTATGGCCAGTGTTTACTGGCAATTTAAAAATCTTTAAAAATAAGTAGCTGGGTGCAGTGGCTCATGCCTGTAATCCCAGCAGTTTGGGCGGCCAAGGTGGGCAGATCATTTGAGGTCAGGAGTTCAAGACCAGCCTGGCCAACATGGTGAAACCCCTTCTCTACTAAAAATACAAGAACTAGCCGGACATGGTGGTGAGCACCTGTAATCCCAGCTACTTGGAAGGCGGAGGCAGGAGAATCATTTGAGCCCTGGACGGAGGTTGCAGTGAGCAGAGATCACGCCACTGCACTCCAGCCTGGGAGGCAGAGTGAGACTCTATCTCAAACAAAACAAAACAAAAAAATAAGTTTAAAAAAAAAAGAATTAGCTTCACTCAAGTCTTATCTAAATGCATGAATAAATAATACAGTGAAAAACTCCAAGGTTTTATAAACACATTATTTATTTGGAATTATCTGGCTTATGTCATTGGGGAGAAGCAATATTCATTGACTGTATTTTTTAAAGCAGATGTTACTTATAAAAATGCTTACATATTTGAATTAGGCTGTTAAAGTAAAAAGCTATGTCATTATATGCCCAGCTTCATCACATTGTGCTTATTTTCTTCTGTATTTAATATAAATAATGTCATTAGTGACAAACAGTACCTGGCAGTTCAGTTAATTTTTTTGTGAAATAAATGAATAATAAGTGAGTGTAATAGTATCTCAGTTAAGAGATTGGTCTCTGAAGTTATACTTCTTGGGTTCAATCTTGGCTCTAGTTTTTATTTAGCTGAACAATCTTAGGCAAATTACTTATCCTCTTTTTGTGTTAATTTCTTCATTTGTAGAGCAGAAAATACTATCTTATTCATAGATCCTGTTACTACTGTGAGTAGATATTGCTTAGCACTTGCTGTTTGCTAAACGTTCTGCTTATATGCTTTACATGTATTATTTTAATCACTACAACTCTAAAGTATACTAATTTACTGATGTAAATACTGAAGTGGGCCAGGTGCGGTGGCTCACGCCTGTAATCCCAGCGCTCTGGGTGGTCGAGGTAGGCAGATCACCTGAGGTCAGGAGTTCAAGACCAGCCTGGCCAAAATGGCGAAACCCCTCCTCTACTAAAAATACAAAAATTAGGTGGGCATGGTGGTGTGTGCCAACTATTCAGGAGGCTGAGGCAGGAGAATCGCTTGAACTCAGGAGGTGGAGGTTGCAATGAGCCAAGATCACTCCATTGCACTCCAGCCTGGGTGACAGAGCAAGACCTTGCCTCAAAAAAAAAAAAAAAAGAAAAAAAAGGAAATAATGAAGTGCATGGTTAAGTAAATCACACTCTGATTTTTTCCAGTATCTAAATAAATCTTTAAAGATAGGCATTTCTTAATGGTCATTTCTTTCTTCTATGTAATCTTGTAAGTAGACAAATGATGGTGACTATATTCTGTATTAAGTACACATACTATGATTAAAAAAAGCATGTTCTATCTGCCCAAAGAGATCATAATCATTTTTGGAGCTATAAACTTCTTGTCTATTTCTACTTCCATGGTACCTGTATTCCCTTCTCAGATAACCAAACAAAAACAGCTGACTAAAATCAACCATTAATAGTAACTTGCCACTCTGTTAGAGACTTATTTTTTCTCCACATAGTAATTCCTTCAGTGTCCAATAAGAAGTTTAAAGTAAATTCATGTAATCCTTCCAAGCCTTTAATCTCATAGTATGTTTTGTTCCTGAGTTAGAGCTGTAAAAGCAATTCACAGTACATTGCCTAAGAGCCATGTGTTCAAAAATCACTAGAGGTTATTCTGAAAACAAAACAAACCCAGTAAATTTTTTTCCCTTTTCTACTTCAATGCTTAACTGAGAGATGAAAATGTTCAGAGAAAAGTCTGAACACATCCTTGCTTCAAATATTTACAGTATATATCAATTTGTTTATAGTAGCAACTGGATTTTTGGCTCATTAATGTGCAGAGACAAAGGAGACTTGGGAACTTGAGGTGACCTCCCTGAACGCTAGCTGTAAATGGAAGTGTCCAATCTAGTGACTTCCTAGACATGCAAATAAGAGTAACTCAAAGTCCATCAGGAAGAGTTCCTGAGACACACTGATTTCTCCACAGTTACAAAAGTAGTTTTATTCTTTTTACTTTTTGTGATGGGGTCTTACTCTGTCACCCAAGCTAAAATGCAGTGGCGAGATCTGGCTCACTGCAACCTCCACCTCTCCCTCTGGGGTTGAGTAATTCTCCCACCTCAGCCTCCTGAATAGCTGGGACCACAGACACCCACCACCATGCCCCACTAAGTTTTGTTATTTTTTGGTAGAGACGGGGTTTTGCCATGTTACCCAGGCTGGTCTCAAACTCCTGAGCTCAATCTGCCCATCTTGGCCTCCCAAAGTGTTGAGATTACAGGCATAAGGCATTGTGGCCAGTCTAAGTAGTTTTATTCTTATGTGAATTTTGAGACCAAAACTCATCAGACTAAGATAGTAATGTTTGTTTAACATAAGCTATACTGCATTTAATAATCTCACTGGACTTAGGAGTTTTAAAAAATATAACTTCTGGCCAGGTACTGTGGTTCACGCCTATAATTCCAGCACTTTGGGGGGCTGAAGTGGGGAGATCACTTGAGCCCAGGTATTCGAGACCAGCCTGATCAACATAGCGAGACCATGTCTCTACAAAAATAGAAAAATTAGCCGGACATGGTGGCACATGCCTCTAGGCCTAGTTACTTGGGAGGATGAGGTGGGAGGACCTCTTGAGCCCAGGAGGTTGAGGCCGAAGTGAGCCATGATTGTGCCACTGCATTCCTACCTGGGTGACAAAGCAAGACCCTATTTCAAAACAAACAAACAAACAAAAACCCAAATATATAACCTCTAAAAATAATTATTTAAAAATCACTTAAGAGCTCTACCAGAACTTTAAACAACAAATATTTCTAGAGTTTCTTACGTTAAAAAAGGCAGGAAAAGAGACACACAATTTCTCTTTAAGTTACTCATTCTGATAAACTCACACTGTAATTTCCTATACTGAAGAATGAACTACATACTCAGTTCATTATCATCATGGATATCTTTACACCATAGATGCTTTCCTAAACAGTTGATTTTAAATCATGTTGCATTTTTTGTGTAATTGAAGAATTGGCTATTTAATAGCATAGTAAATATTTTATTGAAAATACCACTTTTGTTTTTGGAGACAGAGTCTATCTCTGCTGCCCAGGCTAGAGTACAGTGGTGATCATAGCTCATTGCAGGCTCAAACTCTTGGGCTCAGGTGATCTCACCACCTCAGCCTCCTGAGTAGCTAGGACTACAGGTGTATGCCACCATGCCTGGCTAATTTTTGTGGGTTTTTTTTGTACAGATGTGCTCTTGCTATGTTGCCCAGGCTGGTCTTGAACTCCTGGACTCAAGTGATCCTCCTGCTTCAGCCTACCAAAGTGCTAAGATTATAGGTGCAAGCCACTGTGCTTGGCCTTAAAATCACCTTCAAAACTTACCCTATTTTATAGTTTGGATTTCAAAAAGAACAGTGTTTTCAGTGTGTCTGTGTGAGTTAAAGTCAAACACAAATTTGGGGTTTCAGAAATCTCAAATTTTGGCTCAAAGGCCAAAAAGATTGTATCTTAAACTTTAGAAAACAGGCCTATACACACTCTCATTAAGGCAGCTTCAAATTATAATCAGGAACACAAACCATTAAGACTAGACAAACAAAATTTAGGATAAACAACTTAACAGGGATCACAAGGTCAGGAGTTCGAGATCAGCCTGGCCAACATGGCAAAACCCCATCTCTACTAAAAAAAAAAAAAAATACAAAAAATTAGCCAGGCGTGGTGGCAGGCACCTGTAATCCCAGCTACTTGGGAGGCTGAGGCAGGAGCATCACTTGAACCTGGGAGGTGGAGGTTGCAATGAGCTAAGACCACGCCACTGGACTACAGCCTGGGCAACAGAGCAAGACTCCATCTCAAAAAAAAAAAAAAGAGATAGGGTTTTACTATGTTGCTCAGGCTAGGAAACTTAAAACCAAGGAGTTAATTTCTTTTTTTTTGGAGGAGTAGACTGGGCACAGAGAAGTATGGTACTTAGAAACAAAAGATAAATTTATAATGATCATGTAATCCATGAGATCTTCCTAAGTACAATTATTAAAATGCCACACTCAAACTGTATGTGCACATTATATAAAAAACCTTACAAAAGAAATGCAGAAGATTAACCAGTGTTAATATAATAATAAAGAATAAATATATTTTTGTTTTAATGAGAATTTAAATTTCTTTATACAACATGATAAACTTTGGGCAGTTGTGGTAGCAGATCTAAAAGAAACATCAGTAATGGAGAACAAGAGTCGACAGAATATTTTAAGAAATCCATAATGCCATGCTAACCAGTGTTCTGAGATGAACACAAATTTATCATAAAGTCTGGCCCTAAACAGGTAAAAGGAGAACTGAGACCAGAAGGGAGCCACAAAACAGCCAGGCGTGTTCACACTGGCTAGCAAGGAAAACTATTTAAAGGAAGCACACTCAGAAACTCTGTCCTCTGGCTGAGTGTCTGTGTGACTGGAGTTTGCATAGTTCTGAGAACTAAAAACAGCAGCCAGACATTCTGGGCACAGGAACTGTTCAGAATAGAAAGTGATTGTGTATAGCAATTTGCATTCTCAGAGAAACTGTTTCACTTCAACTTCAGTTCTTCGAATTATACATGAGTAGGTCAGAGTGACAGAAAGGTCTA